TGTAGCAACAAATAAACGTTTTTATAAATCTTTACCCCACTGGAATATGAATAAATTAAATTTTGTAATGTGGTTTTTATATTCATGAATTAATATTTGATAAAATTATAACACTTTAAATTTGATAAGAAATATTTATTTTTTCATGTAGTGGTGATGATACTTTTGTAGACATTAGTGATGATGTTATGTCATAATTTTACTTTACTTTACTTTTACTATCTACTTCTGCTTTCGTAGTTAAACAATAGTGAGTTCAAATTTACAGCTGTTAAACCGATAAGTATGAATGAATGAATACCTGACAATCCGCACTCTTATAATCCAAAAGCATGAGTAACTCGTAGTGTATGTATTGATTTCTAGAAACTTTAAATTAATTTTGGCCTCACAGTGTCCACGAGAAAGTGATCGCCGCGATATGGTTTTAGTAAATTCGTCATTGCACCTTCAAACTTAAATTATTCCACCTTTATACAGGATGCAGTCAACCAACGCGCGGGCTTTATTTTTATGATAGGATATGTTTTTGATTGTATCTAATAAATACCAAAAATTTAAATTTGTTTTCCTAATTTGTTTTCCTAATCCAGGAACCACATTTAAAATTGTTTATCAATCACAAGTAAAATCATGCCAAATGTTAAATTGACTAGCAATTCTAAACCAGCAGACTGCTAGAACATTTGAATAATGATTTTAATTAAAGTGCAAGCGCGAGCGTCGTTATATTTTAACATTCATTACCATATCAATTGATAGATTGTTATTTTAGTATTTACCTAACTGCTATTTTTTTATTTTGCCCTCCCATCACAAGAAGCTGAAAATCTTAAATAAAAATAGCGTTGCGCTCGGTATTGGTATTGGCTAAATATATTATTTGTTTTTATTGCATCAGTTTCAATTTAATATGAAAAAAAATTGACTTAAGTGTAAACAACAATTTTTAAAACCAGCTTTGCGCGGCGCTCATTACAGCGAATAGTCCTAAGATAGTTTATTTAAAAATTAAACGCGCACCATTCTCTTTAGACAGGATTCAAGTCTTTATTAGTTCTTAAAAATTGTACAATTTTTAAGAACTTAATTTACAAAATTAAAAAATTTTTTTGTGAATGCCAATTTATAACATGTTTATTGCCAAATCTAATTATCGCGATCCGATCCACCGACTGGCCGCGCCAAAGTATTTTAAAGACAACACTGTTAATCGTATAATCAAGAAAAACCCACTTTACACCTTTGTTGTTTCTGCATTAAAAATAAGTCTCAAATTTTAAAATAGAGACAAAATCAGAATCGTATAGTACATCGTAATAACATAAATCGTTAAAAGATGGATGATAATTAATCACTCTACACTCGACTGTCAGCGTGACATTTTCAACTCGTTCTCTAGCTTGGTCCGAACGACCCTATTCGAAACCTTAACCCTCTTATCTTATCCCAACCCTGAACCCTAACCAATCCTAACATAAAGCATATGCTGAAAACACCAAACCCTAACGAGAAATTAGACTAACTACCTTATACGTCATACACGTGATCGAGACAGTTTATACGCCTATAACTCGTCAGGGACATTTTAAACCCTATGTCATGGGGAGATTTCGAATCAGCGTCCGAAAATATCATCGATTGAAGTTTGTTTATAACTTGTCGGGGGCCCTGTAGAACAATCTGAAGAATCGACTGTAGATGAATTTAGTACGCACGTTATAATAAAGCTATTGACTATTTATCAATTTAACTTAGTTAATGAATGGACCTCACCCTTACTGTCACTGTTACAAGAATTCAACTTGTGTGATATGGCAAGTCCCCCTTTTTGACTTAAAAATTTTTATATTTTAACTGTAAATTCCAAAAAAAAGTCATGGATCATAAGTTATTAATCTATAAAATATCAATCTCGTAATTTAACAACCCATCAATCATGTTATTAAGCCATTTGGGAACAGAGGTGCGAGTAAAGACTTTGTTGATAAATAGGTTTTAGATTGAATTTGGAGCCACAAGGCCAATGTTGATTTTCTAATGTTTCTCCCAATATTGATATAGGAAAAATATATTGATTTTTGAATTTTTTTTTTTTTTTTATTGAATGTGTTGTTTTTTATATAAGGACATTTGTGACAATCATTGTATCTATCAGTTGCAGAAACGTTTTGTAGCAAAAATCAGAATAATCAGTAAAATTAATTGGAACTGCCAAAAACCTGTCCAGGTATAATTGAATATCTATTTTAGGTAATTGCTAATTATTGTTTGTTTTTAGTTAAACGAGGATCTGAAACAATAGGTTCCGTACAGACTCAACTCTGCACCCTTGTCAATATGTTCATTATAGTGAAACAAATTTAGTGAAACAAGATTTAAAAATATTATCCTTTATTTTCAATCAATAATATACTAATATATATAAGCCTCCGTTTTTGAAATTTTAAATTAAAATATATCACATTACATTTAAAAATTCAATATCATTTATATAGTCAATAAACTGGCCCGAGCCAAAGCGCGCATATCTTAAACATGATTAAATTTTTTATGATTTTACGACAAAAGAAATAAATTAAAAATAACCGTGGATTTTTTATAAAAAATAAATTATAATCATACCATAAATCCAAAGCCAGCTTTGTAAAAATTTACTTTTCGATCAAAATATATCGTCAATCTAAGGTATTTTACAATGCAAACATTTCATTAATTTACATACAAAGCGTACTCCAGCCCCTGCACGCATCCGTTCTTAATGCGTCGCGGCTCAAGCCGCGCACGCACGTATAATTTTATACTTTATGCTTTTACTAATAAATACGAGTCAATTGTACGTTCTAAAATGGTCATGCTTGTGTAAACCGAATCCATGAGAATAAGTGACAATGAAAAGGACCCAGGCCTGTACGTCATTTTTCGGACCCCTGTGGACCACTACTCTTGAAGTCGCTCCACACCTATTGAACCATATTAAAACTGTTATATAATATATAACGACCATTTGACAATTATTATCATTAATCTATAACTAGCAGTCCTTGCTGAGGGGGTGAGAGTAAACGCTTCACAAACTAAAAGTCTTACAACATACAAAAATTTAAAACCATCAACACGGTTTATAGTTCAATCAAGGGCCAATTTGTAATACCTCTATTTCGTTGTAATATCTAGTATAACTTTCACATCTTTTTATTTTAATACTATAAAAAATACAATAGGAAAAACATGTTTCGAGTAAAGAAGGTTGGTCCCGTTATTAACAAAAGTAAACCAAAAGTCCATCAGGGACCCCACGGTCGAAAAAGTACACGGCTATATGCAAGCTCTTGTTTTATAATGTTTGAAATAATTTAATATTTCCTTAATTCCCCAAAAAAAATTTGGGCGAAACCAAAAATTTGAGCGGGCCTCTCGCCCAAACTTTTTGTCAGACCAAAGTTATTTGCATAAATCTTTCCGTCTGCCAAATTTTATTGCATAACCCAAACTTTTGCATCGCTGCCTGTGGCCCTGAAATCAATAGAAAGATGGCTTTTTCTTCATAGTCAATGAAATAATATTTGAAATTTAGTTTTCTAATCTGTCATTTGTGGCTTGAACCATAAAAAGGCTTATATTGAAATGAATAAAATAAACCGGAATAGTTAACAGCTACTAAAAAAAGAAATGGCTACAGGTACGTCAGCTGATGATTATAAACCAAGATCTTCAAATGGATTATCACCACCGTAAAGTCTGATCTACAAGCATCAGTTATACCCGACTTTTCAAAGCCATTTCCTTATTTCATATGGCCTCCCTTTTAAATTACAAAAAGTGAGCCAGATGAAAGTAAGGAAAGGCTTTGAAAGTCGGTATAACTTGATCTTTGAAGAATCAGACTTTACGGTGGATGTAATCCATTTGCAGATCTTGTTTAAATCTCCAGTCTGCGAACCGTGTAGCCATTTTCTTTTTATAAGAAGCTGTTAACTATTCCAGTTTATATTCTATTCATTTCAAATATAAGCCTTTACTTGGGTTTTCCCCAAAACCCCCCCCCCCCACAAAAATACAGATAAGAAAACTAAAATTTCAAATATTAATATCACTTGAATATGAAGAAAAAGCACCTTTCAATAATTCAGGGCCACAGGCCCAAAAAAAAAAAAAAAAACAGAAATGCCAAAAAGGTTGGTTTTAGCAGAAAAAAAATTTGTCAGACGGAAAAGATTATTCCAAAAAATTGGTCTGCAAAAAGTTTGGCGAGAGGCCGCACAAATTTTGGTGCCCAAAATTTTTTGGGAATAAAGAAAATATATATCTTATTCAAACCATTATAAACAAGAGGCTTGCCAATAGCGAGTAACTTTCGACTCCGGGAGTCCCTGTTGGACTTTTGTTTCGTTTTGTTAATAATCGGACCAACCATTTCTTTCTCGAAACATGATCCTATTGTATTTCATTATAGTATTAAGGAGAAGATATACAGATATACACGAAATAGAGGGTATACCAAATTTTGGCCCTTGATATGAACTATAACCGTGATGATGGTTTTAAATTTTGTATGTTTGAAAAGCACTTTAGTTTGTTGAACGTTACTCCTCCCCCACAGCAAGACAGCTAGATTATAAAATAATGAATTAATAATTGTCAAATGTCCGTTATATATATATAACAGATATAAATGTCAAAGTTGTGGAGCGGACTTCAAGAGTAGAGGTCCACAGGGGTCCGAAAAAGCCGTCCGGCACATGGGTCCTTATCCCCCCCGTTTATGGTCACAAACTCAATTGGATTCGGTTTACACAAAGCAAGAACATTTAGACTACACATAGACACGATATTTATTAAAAGCAAAAAGATAAAATAAGAACGTGCTGCGCGGCTTGAGCCCGCCGCTAAGAACGGATGCGTGCAGGCTGGAGTACGCTGTATGTTATCGCAAAATTCACGGTTTCAAAATCCCATGTGAAATCGGGGGAGTCTTCTGTAATGTCTTCTCCTAGACGTCAGGGGTGGGGTTCCTTTACTTTCTCTTTCTCCCCTGAGGAAAGGCGGAGATATAAAGGATTAACTAAGAAATGAAATGTTTTTAACCTGATTTCGCTTTACTTTATTTTGAAATATTGAAAGGGAGGTAGGGCCATGTAAAACATCAAGTTCAACGTTAATATGTATCAAAAATTCTTTTACCTTTTCCCTTAAAAAAATGTAACATTTAAGAAAAACCTGTATATATTTAACCGGGGAAGGTTTTATTAAAACAAAAGTGTACAAAAAAGTTTGTTTAGCGGGGCTTCAAAATAAGTGAAAATCGTCTTCCGCTTAACATTAGTTAAACTTACCAAGGCACGTGCAGCTCTTATTTTTTTAAAACCCCCCCCAAAGCCCCTCTAACAGCATACTTGTCTACCCTAGCCCACTTGTGAGATTTCCTTGTGGAAACCTTCTTTTTCCCCCTGATTAAACGTTAACTTACCCGGGGGAATTAGAATAAACCCCCCCAGAATTCATGTAAAATTTTTTTTTTTTAATGGAATAAACCTCAACAATTAAAAAGACAAAAGTAGAGCACACAATAGTAATCACGTCAATTATACAGGGTATACACTTACAGCTGTACAATGTAATATTATATATGTATAGTTATACTACATACAGTTGCAGTACAAAGTACAAAACTTGGCTATATTTGTATTCTCCCCCCCCCCCCCTATTCTCACCCAATTTGTCCTGCTCGTGAAGGAAGCCCCCCCCCCCTATTCTCACCCAATTTGTCCTGCTCGTGAGGGAAGGCCCCCCCCCTATTCTCACCTAATTTGTCCTGCTCGTGAGGGAAGGCCGGCTCCACCTATTCTCACCTAATTTGTCCTGCTCGTGAGGGAAGGCCCCCCCCCTATTCTCACCTAATTTGTCCTGCTCGTGAGGGAAGGCCGGCTCCACCTCTGATATATTAATAGGAATTGCGTATTCAGCAGAGATAAACTCAGTGAGCCCACTCCATTTGCTAGCAATTGTAGGGAGACCCATAGCCATGGCCTCCATCGGGGTACGACCCCAACCTTCGCCATGTGTTGAGAGCACAAACGCATCAGCACTCGCGTAGTACGAGGGGTAATCTGGAGTAATAAAAGTGAAATTAAAACTAGCTCTGTTAATACTTTGATCATGCCATAGATATCACTGATTTCAGGGAAAAACCGCCCGAATAATATTCTGCTAAATAAAATAACGATGCAATACTTAAGTTATTCTGTACCTTGAGCAGGAATCCTGTCTAATTTAATGATCCTAGCATGGTTAGGGTTATGTAAGGAGTCCAGCTCGTCTTTAAGACCAGTAGATCTGATGGCGAGACAGACCTGGTCTAAACCGGAGAACTCCTCTGTAAAGGCTTCCAACAACACATCCCACCCTGAGGGTTAGGAGATAGTATCCGGTAATGTTACTATGGTGGCTACTGCAGCTTAACATTTGCATTATGCTCTAAAGCTGTAGTATAACATAACATGGTTATCAAACTATCATACAGATTCGAATATATTCTAATTAAAGTAAGACTTTATAGAGTTTACCTTTTCTGTCCTCCCATTTGGAGGAAGCAATGAAAACAAAGTCGTGAGCACAGTGCTTGAAGAACTTTGTCTTGTTTATTGAAGCAGACTTTCTGTCATAAACTTCAGGATCAAATCCCTCCTGGGTAAGGTGGAATTATTCAGACAATAGAAATCAAACAGATTAAATGTAAATAACGTGGTAAAGAATATCACATATTTAGTCATTTTATATTCATACCGAAATAAGTTGATGTATAGAAATTAAAAACCGTCTCGTAATATTAATACATTATCAACTGTTATCAAAGTTAAAAGAGTTACCTTTATAACGACAATACGCTTCTTAACCCCCTCTTTTAAGAAAACAGCTTTCTGAAACTTGCTCGGAACCCAGACCTCGTCTAGATATTTGTTTATCATGCGTACCCAACCTTGGGGCACTGAAGTTGTCTCGAACATACACCTCCCTAGAAATACACACTACACAGTCATGTACCAAATGTACTGAAATACATTCGTCTTACAGCTGATTGTACATGATACGGTGCAATGTATGAACGGAAAAATTTAAAAGTAAGCTAAGCAGATCCCAATAACAATCGAATACAAAATAGCCTTAAATAAATATAAAGATGTGAAACGAACCGATTTTATATTTGTACTTCTTGAAGTTGTAATATTCGCTGAGAAATCTCTCGTAATAGGAAGGTTGAAACTGTAGCATTAGTATCTGGTTATTGTACCGTCTTATCTCTAATCCCTGAATTCAATACACTTAATTGAAGAGACCAAATTTTAAAAGTTTGGTGATAAATTTACACTCTCTCTAAGCTCTCCAAGAGCTTACAGATAAAAGATAGGACAAGAACCAGGTTATTGAGTACATTAAGTGTATACCTGGTTACATAAAGAGTATACATGGTTATTAGGTGTATACCTGGTTATATATAGTTCTCAAAACAAGCTGATCAGAAGTCTTTAAGTCGTGAAATGCACTATCCTCAGCTTTGAAGGGGTTTAGTGCTCTCTCGTTAACCCAACCTGTAGTAAGTACTTTAGTATGCATTGGAAGAATTCATTCTTCAATGTTAAAACATTGTACAGGAATGAAATTGTGGCTGACATAACAGATTAAATATGAACAGAAGAAAGTTATCAATGACAAGAGACAGTAGCTGAAAAATCAAAAATTCATACCACACTGAGCAATTTAATATTTTTCAGAGCAACTTACCAACATAGACATGGCTAGATAGAGGAACCAAGAAATCAATAGCTTCATGAGCAAAGCCAGCCCCAATCATGCCCTGCTGCTGAATAGTAGCACTCCATACTACTGTCAGTTCGTTAGGTACCGAGACCCACGTAACCAATACAAATGGGAACACAACAAAAAACCAGAAACACATCAGGTACCTGGAGAGAAATACAGTGGGACTATTGAAATGATAGGGTTCAATTGAGCATGTTGTCTACAAGTATATGCACAGAAATGCTTCTGGCAAAAAGGTTCCCAGATAATAGTTATCATAATGCTCTTACCATTAATAGGCTAGGCAAATGAGTATTAAGATAACAAATAAGAAATATTTTTCAAGTTACCACATTGCCACCATAAGGTACTTCCATCTCGAGTAGTCCTCAGGTTCAAGGTTTGAAGGTCTCTTGCTGCTGTTCTCCCATTCACTGGGAAATTGAACTCTCCTGGCAACAAGGAAACCCATCACACCAGTTGCTTTAGTTCTTCTACATGTTAAGACTGTATTGGAATATAATAATAATAATAATTCTATACATTACATAATTGAAACAATTATGGCCCCTTATTGTGGGCAGAGTATGTGTATTTGTTGAAGTGTCCTGGTATAAACTTATCTGAGTGACTGCATTAAAATAATTTAAGGAGAGTTATCATAAAACTTTAAGACGAAAGGGATAAATACTAGGACCTAATAAAATCAAAACAAAATGCAGCCACCTAATTTGTTGTTAAGCTTTCTCTTCTCCTTCGATTGACTAGAGGAACCATCTTTGGCGAGTATTAGGAACTTAGACCATTACAAATACCAGGCAGAGCATCTCAATGCTATCCTCTCGTGGGCTATCTTGGCCCAGCCTCTCTTTAAAAAAAATTTAAAAAAATACCGTGCTGTAAGTTTGCAAGGCATGTGGACTAAGTGGGTATTGGAATAGCTAATTATAATTCAAACAGAAGAAATTGGGGTTTGTATTTTTCCAGATAAAAATAGATTCAAACAATATACATAGATAAATTCAGCAATAGTTACTGTCTAACTAGTCCAACCAGTTCAACTATACGAATAAACATTTTAGTTAAACAAATTGGGTTTCGTTATTGCATAACGCCAACCTGTATGAACGCTGCAACAGTGAACCACTGTCAGCTAGAGTGGAGAAAAGTCGACTGAGAATGCTTGATCATGTGCTGAGAGGTTTGGCTGAGCAAATTGGTGCTCTGTTTATTTAGAGAAAGATTAGATAGCATCATTGTGTTTACACTATCTGTTATTTAGAAAAGGAAGGAGGGGTACTGTGATTTAATGTGGCATGTAAGAACAAGGATAAAATTTGCTATGCTAAGAACAACTCTTATCACTCATCGTGGGTACAGAGGAAAGAAGATTGACATTAAACATGACACCCCTATATCAGAAGTCTCGTACAACCTCATCCCTGCCCCGATGATGTGTTTTGAAAATTTGTGTGTATATATTTGATTGTTTAAAGTTCAATTGGTAGCAATGGACCATTTCCGTTACCTCTGTATTGTGCTCTGCTAATTGCAACACTTTATTTAATTGTATGTATATATTGTTTGAAATTTTCTTATACTTTGAGCTATTTAGAACTTTGCTGTATAAATAGTATATATATTGCAATATAAATCAAAGAAGACAATATGTCCTCTTTCTGTACAGTTAATGTGGGTTCTCTTTGAACGTTTGCTGTTGTACCTGTATCATTTAAACAAGAAACATTTAGACAACTAGCAAATTTTGAAGAATCGATGACGTTTTCGCATCTATTTTATTTGGGGCTAATATTTTTTATAAAATTTTTCAAACAGTATACACATAATGTCACAATGACCCTATATTTAAAAAAAGGAAAAAAAATAAAAAAGGGGGGACCCCCAACCCATGTAGCTGAGACACCTCACAGCAAGTAGACCAAAGTGGCTCTTGATTGTGAAAGGTGCATCAACTACTCGCCGAAGCGGTGGGTTGGGAGTCCCCCCTGAGATCATTTCGTCCGTAAAATTATATACAACATAAAATAGTACAGTAAAATATCAAAATTTACATAAACAAATCTAGGAGACCTCAAAGCTCCTATATAAAACGTAAAAGGAAAAAACTAAACCCTTCAACAACTCAAACTTTTGAAAATTACCTTTGGCCTTGCGGCTCCAAGTTCAAATCTAAACTGTCTATATTGACAAAGTTTTTTTTCGCCCCTCTGTCTCCCCGGAGAGAAATCACTGTTGTTCTTAAGATTTCAAACCAAAGGTGCTTCCTAGTATATCCCACAGCATCCGCATACCTCTGACCTGGGGCTAATATACATTATTTCATAAACTATGTCACAAAACTTGATAGGTTTGATTTGATTTGATTTGTACTTGTATTATTACGAACGACCTAAATTTTTTCTGATAGCAATGGCTTATTCATTTTTACCTGGGGACCTCAGGCTATCATGTTAATAAACATACAACCGAATAGAAATTAGGCGGAATGACAGGCTGAGCGCCGCCCAGTAAATTCATTTGAATGAATTCAATAATCAGTTGTCAGTGATTGGTGAATGGTGATATAAGCGCACTATTTTGATAGGAGCAACGATCTGAGAAGCAAAAATGATCTGCCGAACAAGAATGATAATTTGCGCGGCGCGTCGAATCAACGTCGTCTTCCAACAACTCTTGGTACAAAATTTAAAGTTTTTTTTAAAGCCAAGTTTTCAAAAACATTCAAAAATTATCACAGTTTTTGAGTTTGTACGTTGTACATGTTATAATTAGTTTTCAGCTCACCATGAAGTTTATTATACATTAATTTTAAAATCATTTTAAAATGACTAATATTATGAAAGTTACAAGCCAAAAACTAGTTACCTGGCCTGGCAAGCCAAAGTCCCAAAACCTGGGCGCGATTAGATTTTAACCGTTTTTTGTACATGCTGATGTGTAATGCGAATACATTTTTGTTTTAAGAGCTCGTATGAGTTAGTTGTGGGATTGTAAAAGTAAGTTATACCAATTTATTTTTACTCTGATTTCGAATAAGACCTATTACATAGCATGAAAATCATTTTTTGATGAGTTATGAGCAAATAACTTGTAGCGCGATGCACTACTGGGCCGCGCCGCGCATGCAATAATGCTTATGCAGATCGGTGAGATGCAAAGGATTGACATCGTGAATCAAGCAAATAACCATTTTTTGTCAGACGCGCGCACGCCACAGGCTTGTAAAACGATATTTGAGCTATTTATGCTTTAGCTAGGATTTATTTAGTTTTGGTTTTAAGATTTGAAGCATTAAGCACAAATTTGTGAACCTGAACATTTAATTTTAAATACTTACCATTAAAATCGAAATCAGAAATGTTGAAAAATATTTTACAATCGTATTACTGGTTACTAAATGCGATCGGAAGAAATAGCAAAATAAAAGTCTAGTTGGCACAACATTTGTTATACCAAAAGTTTTCTAAAAAATACATAGATTTTTTTATAAACAGGTGAATATATATATTTTTTGAGAAATGAACCATAGAACAGCATACTAATTAATACCAACGTCATGATGATTATTATATTTTATTTTAAAAACCAATATTATCAGATATTAAAGAAATAAAATTTGTTTTTCCGAACATGAACATAAAATATATTTATATATATATATACCCAGGATGCACTACATGAAGAATTTGTTGTAACTTTGTTAGAAAAGCATTAATATAATATATAATAACACCCAATAGCTTTTATTTATATATAAATTTTAATTTTTTTTGAGAAAGATGAGGTCATGGATGATGGTAAACCCCTTAGAATGAATGAAGAATGGTGCAGTAGCAAGTTGTTGGGTTCTCTGCTAGAAAGTAGGAAAGATGTCACCAGAAGAATCATGTTAGCCAATGTAGCATTCCAGAACTTCAAGAAGGTCTGGTGCCAGAGTAAGATCCCCCTACTGAGTTATCTAGGTGGAAGATGCTAGGACACATACTGAGGAGCGATGAAAGATCACCAGCTCAAGCTGCGCTGTGTTTTGCTGTCGAGATGTGTAGTGAAGTTGGTAGACTCGGGGCTCACAGACGTAACCTCCTACACCACCTGAAGGTTGACCTCTGGAAGCGTTTCATCTTGCTGGAGTCGTATGATGATATTCTTCATTTGAGAGAACTTGCTAGTAACCGTGGTTATTGGAGTAAATTGTTCGACTTTATACTTGAGTACAAGTCAATTTGACTTTTGGGACATATAATCTTACAAAGGATCACGTTTAGGTTCTAAATTATTTTAGGATTGTTGACATTTGTAAGATTGACATGTTTGATAATAATAAATAATTTTTTTCGAAAGTTGTTTGATATTTATTTTAATTTCGAATATTATTGTAAATTTATTATTTAGTACAAAAAAATGTTTGACCGAGCTCATTACGATATTATAAAAATAATTTAGAAATAAACAATATTTAAGAAGTTACAAGCACTTTAAATAACTTTTTATTACCAAATTTATCAAAATCGAAGATGCTACAAATTCGATGCCAATTTATGGCCCTTATTTCGTTTACTATAACTGGTTAAGGTGGTAATGTAATTATAAATGGTAAGGTGCATGATACGAAACTGGTTCTGTAAAGCTGCACTGGAAAGAGACCGTAAATAAATTTATAAATGCTTAAACTTTGAGGATTTTCGTGATTTTGGTTAGTTATTTGTGTACATATTTTCAATCTTTCAAATGAATTTTCAAAAATTAAATTTATTTTAAGACACACTTTTATGTTTTTGCACTTAAGGGGATCATTTGGCTGGACTGGCTGTCACTGGCTGGACATGTAGCCAGGCATGACGACCTTCTGGCAAACCAACTTCTGTTCTGGGACCCTCAGCATGGATACAGGAGACAGGGGAGGCCCCACCTTACGTTTCTGGACATGCTAAAGAAGGACACCAGCCTTTCCTGTGTTGAAGAGATAAGATCTGTTATGCTTGACCGCGACGTGTGGCGAGGAATTGTAGTTGCTCGGACCAAGAAGCCGACTTAAGTCAGTAAGTCGGGGATCATTTTAATTCATGACCTTCCTGCATGCCTCCCCATATTTGACGCCCAATCACGGTTTCGATACCGTTGATTCAGATGCAGTGATGAACTTGTTAGTTCCAACCCCACTGTATTGTACCCTCAATCCATATGATGAGCTAGGAACATCATGAGGTCTTCACCCCCAAAGTGCGACTAAGCCGAATGATAATCCAAAATAAGGGTGAAATGGAGACTCCATGTGAAATGGACCTTTATAAAAGATCTTATGAGGGAACCCTTCAATTTCTTGTTTCATTGATCGATTTTATTTAAACCTCAATCACAGGATTCCAGATCATTCGGCTGAGTCGACCAGAGGAGATTGCTCAAAAGTCTCTATTGGCATCCTTTAGGATTTATGGTAGAAGCGGGTCTCGAGACTGCAACCTTCCTATTACGGGTCCCTTCTAGCGATCACTGGGCCACCCCATTCACATTTATTCCTCAACTTTTAATCAAATTCTCATGAGCATCCATGGGCATTGCTTAAGTTATGATGAAAATAAACATAAGCATCATGTTCACCGTCCATTTTTAGGTCACATGGCGAGATTCTTCTCCTCTTAAGACTGACTGGTATTGTTACCCAAGGCTTTGGTCGTTGGGTGGCAAAGAGTTGGGTTGTTCCTACTGGCCAACATGGACCAAAAAGTGTGGATACAGCAAAAAATCTTTC